GAGGTGGAATAAACTCCAGTCCTGCCGCAGTGTCACTAGCAGTAAGCCATGTCTCGGTGAAAGCAAACAGATCAGCCCCTGATGTATAGATATAATCCAAAAGGTCAGCCGACCTCGATTTCACCGAGCGAACATTCACTGAACATAACACCAGAGGTGAAAATGTTCAACATAACGGCCTGCTCCCAGATGGCTTGTTAGCTCAATTGGTAGAGCGCTGCACTAGTATCGCAGAGGTCAGTGGTTCGAATCCCGTACAGGCCTGAATTTTTTTCAGGTCTGATTTTCACTATTGCTTAAATAGTGCTTTACTGCGAAGGATCGTGCACATATACGTTTCATAACCGCAGTTCATATATATGTATTTCATATGTTTGTTGTTTGATTTATCATCTACGGGTTTATGTCGAATTAATTTGATGGCCTGCTCCCAGTTGGCTTGTTAGCTCAATTGGTAGAGCGCTGCACTAGTATCGCAGAGGTCAGGCCTGAGTTTCGCTATTGCATAAATAGCGCTATCTACTGCGAAGGATCGTGCATCATACGTAAATTTGATCCTGTTCAACATAACAACGGCATTGCCTTCATACCCTTCCACGTAGCAAATACTTTCGAAGATATTGACGACGTGTACTGGGCATGGGAGAAATTGCTGACTAATGTACTCGACGATCAAATTCAAATCCTGCAGAATTCTGGAACGTATTTAAACCTTTCATGTTCTCCAGAAAAAGTTGTATGACCGAGTCGATTCAACTCTCTGAGGACACAAACATCATCCAAGACAAACAGCAGATAGCTAATATATTGAATACACACTTTCTCAGCATTGGCGTACCATCAATGGAGGACTATAAGGATCATGCCAGTATTTCAAGGATAAAAAAAAATTTCACACCTCCCGAAGAATTCAATTTTGAGCTAGTGAGCAAAGAATTACTGAAGAGCATTGATATTCGAAAAGCCACTGGTTGTGATCAAATACCTGCCAGGGCCTTAAAAGAAGGTTACTTAAGTCTCAGCCTTCCACTCAGTTCTTTGATCAACAAAGTAATAACGAGCGGCGAGATACCTAGTAAGTGGAAACATGGCAAAGTATTACCATCCTTCAAATGCGAAGATTCAATGGATAAAACAAATTATCGACCTGTCACAGTCTTCCCAGCAATAAGCAAGATGTTTGAGAAATGTGTGAGTCCTCAGTTAACAGCACACTCTGAGAATATCTTCTCAGGATCTCTAACTGCATATCGGAAGAAACATAGTTGTCTCTCTACTCTGTTGAGATTAACTAAGGATTGGAAAAGTGAACTAGACCACAAAAATATCATTGGAACGGTCTTAATAGATCTCAGCAAAGCCTTTGATCGCCTTCCACATAACCTCTTACTCGAAAAGCTCTCGACTTATGGCATTGGCTCGAATCGCTTAAAACTGTTAGCAAGTTATTTAAAGAACAGAACGCAATGTGTAAAACTTGGAAACATTCGTTCAAGCCACGGGAATTTGATGTCGGGCGTGCCTCAGGGATCCGTGCTGGGCCCTCACCTATTTAATATTTTTATAAACGACCTGTTCTACAATGTAAAGAAGGCAAAATTATCAGCCTATTCCGATGACAAGCAACTTTATTTTAGTCATAGAGAAGCATTAACTGTACAACATACTCTAAATTCAGAATTAGCCATTATGTCAAGCTGGATTAGTGACAACGGTCTCATCCTCAACGCCAAGAAATGCGAGTCCCTATTATTTAGACGACCCAAAGCTCAACGTAACGAAACGAATGAGAAAGATATTAGTTTCTCGGTAAATGGGACAGTTATAAAGCCAAACATCAGTTGCAAGCTACTTGGTGTTCACATAGATGACAATCTGAATTTTCGTATGATGCACGATCCTCGCAGTAGATAGCGCTATTTAAGCAATAGCGAAAATCAGACCTGAAAAAAATCAGGCCTGTACGGGATTCGAACCACTGACCTCTGCGATACTAGTGCAGCGCTCTACCAATTGAGCTAACAAGCCAACTGGGAGCAGGCCGTTAAGTTGATTCGTAATAAACCCGTGAAAGTGATAAATGAGATACAATGAAATATATGAAGTTCATATATTTTGTACTGCGGTATTAGATACATATGATGCACGATCCTCGCAGTAGATAGCGCTATTTAAGCAATAGCGAAAATCAGACCTGAAAAAAATCAGGCCTGTACGGGATTCGAACCACTGACCTCTGCGATACTAGTGCAGCGCTCTACCAATTGAGCTAACAAGCCAACTGGGAGCAGGCCGTTAAGTTGATTCGTAATAAACCCGTGAAAGTGATAAATGAGATACAATGAAATATATGAAGTTCNAGTCCAGGAGGACCCCTTGTGGAAAATGTTATATAGTAAACTTGCATGCTCTGGCCTCAAGATACCCCAGCCATATGCTGCTTGCCGTATATTCCGATCTATTCCACATATTAAAAAGAAAGCCCCACCTTACTGGGGTGAGATGCCAAAGTGACAAGAAGGTCCATAATTTGGATTTTATATTTGAGTATCAGACAGCTTTGTTCATTTCATTTGCGACTCACCTTTTCTACTTTATTCACTGTGGTTTTCTGTCATACTGGTTGTTTGTTTGCACTTCTTCCGTACTGGAAATGGGGTCGATAGTTGTTCCGGTTGATTCAAGCAGTGAAGAGTACAAATCAATGTATAACTTTTCACGAAAATTGAAACCAGACATGAAAAGTCTGATTTATCTGCATGGGAAAAGCAGTCAATAACAAACCAAAGAAAGACACCGAGACGCAACCATCAAGATTTTCGTCACATGAGTTAGCTTTAGCATTTCCTGCCAGTTGGAGTGTGAAACTCCGTAATCTAACGGATCTTTGCTGTTTGGCGAATTCTGTGTTACGCGAAAAGGTAAACTGCTGCTTTTTTCTTCTTAGAGGAGAGAGCCGTAAGGTTTTGATATTTTAATATCGCCTGCGTGGCCCTGAGCACTGTCTACAAAGTCTACATTAGGAATAGAATAGGAACGGAAGTATCTTACTCGATGAATGAATGTGAGGGCTTGGGTCGGCTCTGGGAACGAATTCGAGACCCAGCGCTATAACACGATAACGCACAAATTATTTCTTTTTACAAATAGCTTGCTGTATAAGAGAGAAACGTCATATCTTAATCTGTGAATGATTACAAGAAACGAATTGATCCCGAAAACATAATTGTGGAGCAATCTGCCATGCCCCCAACATCAGGCTCTATAGCTCAATATATAGCAGCAATTCTAGGCTTCACGGTAAGGTCCGATACACCTTGAAGGTATATATATTTTTTTGTTAAGGTGCACTATTTGTAATTTCTTTACAGTGCCTTTTACATTGCCTTTTACCGGACCAACACTCAGGGTCTTAAAATAACTGAGGAGAATGTATTACCTTTCTATAATATCAAGAAATGGATAGACGTTTTAGTCTTATCAGATAAGGACGAATAAACCGTGGGGCCCGTCTCCTGCATCTTTAATTAGATAATTTGATTAGGCAGGGGACGTTAAAGAACGCACATCACGAGGTTACTGTGATGTGGTCTGGCCTGGATACTGGGAATTAGGCGGAGGGGGCATCTGTAAATAATTCACCTTTGTTGATTGTAAACTGCCAGTGGCAGTCTGGTAAAGTCCCCGCACAGTATTGTAAAGCGCATTTGATCATATGCATATGTTAATTTGCGCTATCTAAATGTTAATTAATTCAATTCATTCATTCATACCAATGAGTATAAACTCATTGTTTGTTTTTATTTAGATATCTTTTTCAATTTTCGCTTCCGCGTTGCTGTTTAAGGAAAGAACCAAAGATCATAGTGATCATGATAATCTGTTGGAAGGAAACATCACTCTAACAATGACACGAGTCTCTTATATAACTTACTTGGATGGGAAGGGTGGGTCAACAACGCCCCTTAGCCCCCGTCCCTGTTATCGATTGTGGCATTTCGACCTCAGGCCTCAAGCCGCTGGTTCCACATCCTATTCAAGGCTTAAGGTCCAGGGTCCAGTTGTTCGAAGGCCGATTTACGCTAACCCGTGGTTAATCCAGGTTTCTATATTATTCTGTTCAAAAGCCGTTTTGGGGTAATTTTCTCAACTCTTTTGAGAGCATTTCATCATGAAATTGTAGACAAGTAGAATACGACTGAATTTTCTTCTAAAGCTTTCTGACCTGAATAAAATTTCCCACTAACCCTGGGTTATCTTAACCCATCTTTGAACAACCCCGCCCAAAAAGGTACTTTGTAGAAGGTGAAAAATGAATCAAACATACCACTCAGCCCCCCTGGATGACAAATGCAGTTATTAAGAAATTGCACTCTCGTGGGTCACCTATTGAAGGTGGCTAGGGAAATCAGACAATAGTTCTGACTGGGCAAATTATCGAGTGGCGAGAAACAAGGTTGTTTCTGCCTTGCGCTCAGCAAAGCGTGAGTTTTACGAGAATGCATTCGAAGAAAATCGAAACAACCCTAAAGCAACGTGGAATATGATAAAAACATTGATTGGTTCTGGAAAGATGAATAAAGGGATTAGTAAGCTTCAGTTGGATGGCAAGGCTGTTGAAAATGCTACAGAAATGGCAGAGCATTTTAATTTATATTTTTCCTCAATCGCCGATAATCTGAGATCCGGACTCGGAAATACGCCATCAGACTTGTCCAAGTTGGTAAACTTTGTGGAGTCCTGCAAAGATCCGGATATGGTTTTCTCTGTTCCAGACATAATCAATGCTCAGGTGCTCCAGATTATAAAGGGGATCAGTCCTCACAAGGCTGCAGGTATCGATAAAATCAGCGCCAGGTTTTTGCGTATTGCTGCTCCTATTTTAGCTCCAAGTATAGCAAGTCTTATCAACATGTCGTTTTCCACACGAACGTTTCCTACTCGTTGGAAAACCGCAAACGTGACACCACTGTTCAAACAGGGTGCGGCCAGTGATCCGT